ACGGAAAAAGACCACTGCCCGACTGAGGAATTGAACCCCAGACCTTCCGATTACCGGTCGGACGTACTGCCATTACACTACCGGGCTGTCTTCTTCCGTCTTAGGATCTCTCCAGGATCCTAACACTGGTAGTATGTATTCTAGTTATCTAAACTATGACAATAAATCCTGTTCAATTTTATTGACGTTTTATTTATTTTTCCTTGTTATTGGAAAAAAACTGATTTGAATATTTTCTCTTCTAACCTTAATTTCTCAAACAATCATATTTTAACTTAAACTCTCTAATCAAAACTTTTCAACTATTTTCTTCTCATTTTAATAACGAATGCATAAAGGAGGTGACCCAATAAAAGACCAGGATCTTCTATTCTGTCATTAAGAATAAAGATTTTAGGGGAGTCTTCTATTGTGTCCTTAAAAGGAAACTGTTTTTCAAGTTCATACTTTGAGAAAATGACTTTTGTCTCAGTTATTATTAGGAGTCAATGAGAGACAAACAGTTATAACAGAATGGGAGGATAGTGTTCATAGTAGAGTCCTGCGGGACAAACTTTTCTGTTGCCCCAAACCCGAACATAAACATGTTTGTCCCGTCCCGTAAGCCCGAGTCCGTGAGTAAATAAAGTCGTCCCGAACCCATCTGTCCTGTGAGAAACGTTTACGACCTTTTCTGTCCCGTCCCGTTTGTCCTGTAGGTTCTTGAAAAAGTTTTTCGGTTGAGACAAATCGTATCTGTTACAAGAGACGTTTCAAATCTCAAACTTATTTTTGCAAAATCCGCATGATAAAACTTAAGCCAAATTTATTTGATTCTAAACTTAAAAGTTGCTGTATAAAAAAAATGTTTTACATCTACTCACTACCTCAAGATCGTAAATCTAGTTTTAGATATGAAACATCTTTAGTTTGATAGTATTACAAAAATTAAGCATTTGAAGTTGCAGCATAATTACAATCAAAAGACAAAACTGACGGGACAACATTTCTCTGCGGCTTGTCCCGACTCTGTAAGCCCAAGCCCATGAAATTTTTTCTTGCCCCGAGCCCGTAAAGTTATTTTTTGTCCCGAATCTATCTATTCCGCTGGGCGGGCCAGACGAGTCGCGGTTCGAGACTGTCCCGCAGGATTCTACTTCATAGTGCATTTTTTTCTTTCATTTGACCCCATGCATTTCTTGTCACATATATATTGTGTTTTTTATATCAACTGATGAACGAAAAAAAACAAAAAGATACATTTTGTTGTCTTCTCACATGCGCAGAATGACCCTTTTGAAAAACTTCCTCTTTTTTTGATCCCGCTTCTTCATGCGCACATTTATGTGTCAGTGAAAAAGAGAATTTACCTTCAATAGGAAATATTTATTATGAATTTTCCAAGATTTACAAGTAAAAACTTGAAAAAAAATAGGAGAGTCTTTTATTTCAACTTTAACAAGATGAGTTAAAGAGGGATCTTCTATTTAGGGAGGTCTTACAGGATGTCCCAAAAAAACTTCCTCTCTCTGTATTTCCGACTGGAAAATCCGACTTTCGAATTTTGATTGCAAACTTGCCACACTTGTAGCCCATGATCATAGTAGTACGACAGAAAAATATTCGGTGCTAATGAATTTTCCTGCCTTGAAATATTGAGACTCAAATATTTGACTCTCACCCTTAGCTTCTGGTGAAATATTTGCGTCTCAATATTTCAAGGCAGGAAAATTCATTAGCATCGAATATTTTTCCGTCGTAGTACTATGACCATGGGCTACAAGTGTAGCAAGTTTGAAATCAAAATTCGAAAGTCTGATTTTGCTCGAAATCCAAGCTCTGTGGGCAGAAACTGACTAAAAATTCAGTATGATAGCAACAAAGCATCATGGGGATGAACCAAGTTGGGGTATTTCACTACTCGTTAGGGCCTTTCTACCAAAAATAGTCTCAACACGAAATCGATTTATAACCTCGGATGGTTCCCTCGTTAGAGAGCTCGGAGACGTCTCAATTTGTAGAAAAATGTTTGCTCTACTCGACTACACTGATGGTAAAAAGATCAATTATATTTGTACACAAGAAAGCCAATAAATACAGAGGAGGTAAGTTTTTTTTGGAACACCCTGTATAATGTGTCCACTCCTTTCCTATGATATTCAATGAACTGAGTGTCTATCATTTAAATCTTCATCACTTAGACTTATCAATTGTTTATGTTCCATATCTAATTGATATGTGACAATTTGTCTTATTAGTAGTTTTATTATTTTATTTGTTTCATCAATCGCATACAAGAAAAAAAGAAAATATGCTTAAATTCTTTATTTTAACAATAAAAATGTTTTTGTTTCGCGTTTTGTCTTTTCACGCAAACAAAACGTTAAATAAAGTGCTTATGTAATCAAAAGTGGTTAATGTATACTCTGAGTTGTTGTTATTCTTAGTAATATGTTTGAGAATACAAAAAAAAAAGAAAATCTTTTTAAATTGCATAAAACGTCGAGTAACAGTTATAATCTTATATAAGTAGTCAAGTAATTTTTGGTAGCAATAGTACAAGGTCTGAATACAATCGACTCTTATTTTCTTAATCATTTTATTTTTCATCTTCCAATTGATATAATATTCAAAGTGATCATATTTTCTTCTTTTTTTTTTAAATAAAATAATCATTCTAAGAGATATTATTTTAACCATGACAGTTTTTAGAAATTTTTTTATTCGTCGTTGATCTATGACTTTTCGATAATTAATTGAATAATAAAACAACGTTTTCTTGTTTTTTGTTGTTGTTGTTGTTGTTATTTTTAAACAAAATGGGTGCTGGTTGTACAAATCCTAAATATACTGATAACTATGATCATCAAACTAATCCATTTGGTCATTATTCAAATGTTAATGATCCTTATTTAACACGAATCGTTTCACCATCCTCATCATTAGCACGTTTTCAATCAAAAACGGTTGTTCCAATTTTAAATAATAATAATATGATGTATATAGATAATAATTTAGAAAGTTTTATTTTAATATGGTTAGATGCTGAATTAGATGAAACAAATAATGATGATCTACGTCAATTAAAACGAATTGTTAATTCACTAAAAACATATGATAATGTTAAAGATTGTATTAATTATATTTTATCAATTGATGGTTATAATGAAAGAGTTTTACTCATTATATCTGGTTCATTTGGTAAAAGATCAATGTCTGATATACATGATATAGCACAAATTGATTTTATATATATATTTTCACCAATGAAAACAAAATATGAAGAATTAACAAAACAATATAAAAAAATACAAGGTATTTATGATAATATTGATATTTTATGTAATAAATTAAAACATGATGTTTCAACACGAACAAATGATTTAATGATATCAAATATTACAGATGATGAACATTTAAATGAAAATACAACATTTTTCTCATTTTATTTTATATTAGAAACATTTCTTAATATGACATTTCATCCTAATATTCGAAAATCATTAGTTGAATATTGTCAATTACAATATATAGAAAATGAAAATGAATTAAAAATTATTAATGAATTTAATAAAAATTATCAATCAAATAAATGTATTTGGTGGTATACAAGAAATTGTTTTTTATATCGTATATTAAATAAATCATTTCGTATAATGGATTTAAATATTATTTTTAAATTAAGATTTTTTATTATTGATATGTATAAACAATTAAAACAATTACATTATGAACAATATATAAAAAAATCATCATTATTAAAAAATATGAAAATATTAATTGTTTATCGTGAACAAGGTATAACAAAAAATGAATTAAAAATATTAAAAGAAAATATTGGTGGTCTTTTATCAATAAATTATTTTATGTTAACAACATTAGATAAACATGTACATATTCATTCATCTCATCATCCAGATACAGAAAAAATTTTATTTCAAATTTATATTGATATTGAAAAATGTACACAACCATTTGCTAATATTGAACAATTAAGTTATTTTAATTTAAAATCTGAAATACTTATTTCAATTGGTAGTCTATTTCGTATTAAATCTATTAAAAAAGAGATAGATTGGTTTGTTAAACTTGAATTAATTACAAGTGAAGAAGAAAATAAATTAAAACAAATGTTTATTGATAAAAATAATATTGGACAACATTTACGTGATATGGATGGACAAGAAAAACGAGAAGAATATACGGAAGTACTCTCTCAAAATGTACAAACAGATGGAATTGATATAGCAGATGATTATTATAATAATGGTACAAGACATTTGAATGAAGGAGACTATATAAAATCTTTAGAAAATTTTGAAAAAGCATTGAGTATCTATGAAAAATATCTTGATTCAGATGATCAACGAATCGCTAAAACTTACAGTAGTATTGGAATGACTCACGGTATGCAAGGTGATTTTGTTGAAAGTTTAACAAATTATAAACGTGCACTCAATGTTTATAAAACATCGATACAATCACCAAATTATAAAGGAATTTCAAAAACGTATAATAATATTGCTATGGCACATTATGCTGAAAATGAACATGATCAAGCTCTTGTTAATTTGGAAAAAGCCGTCGAAATTGATCAACGTGAATTTTCAAAAAATGATCCATTTTTAATTACATCGTATACAAATATGGCATTAGTTTATAGTGAAAAACATGAATTTAGACGAGCAATTGACTATTATAATAAAGCTTTAATTATTCAATTAGAAAATTTACCAAAAAATCATGCAGATTTAGCACCAACCTATGGTAATATTGGAACAATGTATGATCGTTTAGGTGATCATACACAAGCCTTACAATATTATCAAAAAGCTTTAGAAACACAATTAATTGCTTTACCATTAAATGATCCAAATCTTGCTGATACATATATGAAAATTGGAAATATTTATTATGCACAACGAAATTATCCTAAAGCATTAGAAAATTTTTCAAAAGCATCAGATATTTGTGCAAAATTATTTCCACCAGATGCACCACAAATTATTGAACTTCGACGAAATATTACAGCAATTCAAAATAGTTTACATCATAAATAATACGATTTAGAATTTCATTACGATAAAAAAATTGATAGATCTACTAAAATGAAGAAGAAAACATAGTAAGTATAGTTTTTTTATCCTTTTTCATTGTAGAATATATTAGTATTTTGACATTTTCTTTTTCTTTTATATCTTTGAACAGCAAAAAAAAAAAATGATTGATAATTGTTTCTTTCTGTCACACAGCAAGATCAATTAATAAATGTTGGTCATATTTTATTAGAAAAAATTTTTATAGTATTAAAACCGACTTCAATATAGTCTTGATCAACTGGATATTCAGCAACTTGTTTTAATCGTCTTTTAATGTCATCTAAATGTTTGGTAAAATAATAGCGTCCCGGATCAGCTAATAGTACAATTTTTCGTTGATCAAGAGCATTGTCAATTAAATTCCAAGTTTGTTGAGCTAATTCTTCATCATAAAACATATCACCAATTGTTAATACATCATAATTAGAAATAAGTTTATTTTCTAATAAAAAATTTCGTTTATCAACATGTATTTGAACAGCATTTAATATGGCATTATGACATACAGCTGTCAATGCTTCTAAAATAACAAAAAACTTGTTAGTGTTGCTTCTAGGAAGTAAAAATGTGAAAACTTCCTACTGAACTATTGGACTATAATATAGAAGATGTAGAAATAGAACAAAGTTAATAAGAATAGTAGCGCGCGAGAGAAACTTCTAATTAATAGTTTCTTTTTTCTGTTCATATGGAGAGATATGGTAATAATTTTAAAACTTGTGTCCAACAACATCAGATTAATAATGCACTGTCTGTTGCTAGTCGATTCAGTAATTGTAAACATCAAATTTATACTAGAATGATGAAGCGGAATTTCGGCAATATCGAAATCCCAAAAGACTTTTGACAGTCGAAATAATAATTATTACTCTATTAGCAATTCTACAAGTAGTAATGCTAGAGTACAAATAAAAAATATGATAATCGGAGTTTTATAACTTTTATTGTCAGAATTCCGCTAGAATCTCGACAATTGCTGACATTCTAGGGGAAATCTGATAATACTGTCGAAATTCCAAAAGAATTTCGGCAATTGTCGAAAGTCTTTCGGAATTTCGATACTGCCGAAATTCAGATGGCGAAATTCCGGTTGTCGGAATTCCAGTAATCCATTGGAATTTGATCAGTCACAATTTCATCTCGAAAGTATACAGCTAGCTGAACCACAAAAATCTTCGTATATAAACTTTATACTTCAAACTTCCTTTTCTTTGGGAAAACAGACAAGTCCTAGGAAGTTTTCACAAAAGTATGAGAGGAAATAGAAAGGAAGAGAAAAAAAATTGAAAATTTCAGCATAGATTTTCAACACTATATTTCTACAGCCTTACCTACCAACATTCTCACCGATTCTTAACAAGAAATTCAGACTATGTAAACCCCAACATTTTCCGAGGTCCATTTTTCCCTAGGATTCTCTCTATAAAAATAAACTTCAGACTTCCATCTCCTTCGGCGAACGGATGTGTACTTGGAAGTTTTCACAAAAACCTTGTCAAGGTAGTCCCTCTTGAGGCTAAAATGGTGAAACTCCGTTGCAGATCTTTCACTTTTAATAAATAAAGCACTGCTACGTTATGTTAATATTATAATATAGAAAGATGGTGCGGGATACTTTTATGCGTTTTGAGATAAATGATAATTGGTAACTAGGGATTTTTCACATTTTTTAACTAAAAGATAAAGATTTTTTCATGATGTTTTTTGGGCTCAAAGTAAGATAATAATTTAATTTTAGTACTGACAAATACTTTTAAGATGAATACACCTGGGACGAAGGGGAAGTAGAAAAATAGGTCAAATTCACGGCTTTTTCAGTATAAAACCACAACTCCTTCTCCTTTGGAGATACTGGAAGAGTTTCACAAAATATATTTACAGATATTACTATAGATATTTATTCTCTGTGTTTTTATCTGATATAGTGGCAAAGACTAATTATTTAATTACTGACATATTATAAATCACTAAACGTACCTTCATCAATATCATTAGCAGTGACATGTTTAGCACAGCATAATTTTGCTGCAATTGAACATCCGCCACATCCGCATCCAATATCCAATAATCTTTTATTTCTTACCAAATATCTGTTATCTAAAATATATCTAGAAAATGTTAGATTATTAAATGTTTTTTTTTAATCAAAGATAGAATACGACTAACCTAGCTAATCCCTGTCCTCCAGGCCAAAAGAAACTCCACCATGGATCTACTGTTCCAAGTGTTTCTATTGCTTTTTCATACGGTACATGCCATAAAGGATGATTTGATGTTAATATACTTAACTGTATTTCAGGCACAAGAGCAGAGGCTTGAACGGAAGGTAATAATTGTAAAACCGTTTTTATTAATTGTTTTTGGACAGTCATATTACACTAAAAAGAATATTAGCATTCGTATTAGATCAACAGAATCAAATATTTTATACATATTGAAATGTTCACCACGTTAACGATCATCTAATGCTATAAAATACTTTATTATTATTATTGAAAAGATTAAAAAATAAATCATAAAAATGGATAAAATAAAATGAAAAGCAGAAAAGACATTGGTTAAAAAAAACAGTTTATATTCATTCTATTTTTAGTTTTTTTCCACATGTTCAGATCTCAAACGGTATTTGTAACACACGTTAACATCCACTAAAAGGATCGAATTAAAATTTAACATAGCCAATAGACCGAGTTCATCGACGTAATTATACATGCTAACATCGAATAGTAGTCAGCTGAATGTTTATGAACGACTACTAGAAGCCAATATTTCTTAGTCATTCGTATTTAAAAAAGGTACGAACTATACGCTACTCAATTCTTAAAGCTGGATGACGTTTGACTAAATTATACAATAACAAAAAATGCTGTTGTATACATTTGAGTGACTAGGTTTCAGTTGTTAGTAAGTATCAATCCGAATTCAATACGTAAATTTGTCTTCAGCTTTAAGCTCACTTTCGAAGTAAACGTTGTATTACTAGAATGTTACATTATATAAACACTTCTCGAAGGTTTGAATACGTACACTGATCTTAACATAAATTTTTACGTTCTTTTTAAGCAAAAGAAAATCATAAGGAAATAAAACACTGCAGAATGAATAGAATGCAATAAGAATACGAGAACGTGTTCAGCATCAACATAATAACTCGTTTCAAAAGAACTCGACATATCCTATCTGAACTTTTGCTAATGGAAAGATTTTTGTCATGGATATGGATCATAATAACGTTGATCGGTTTCTCAAATGTATTCATTGTAATTTTTCTTACGAGGGAATCTTCCCTCAGATGTAACACTCCGTTTTCAATGATTTATGTGCTGATCGATAGAGGATAATAAGCTAGTAAAAGTCCTAAAATGATTTGAGCTCATGGTACTTCTCTCAAGAGTTATGAACATTTTTTACTTGCCTGTGCAAGGGAACCTACTAATACCTTAGTCAAAACAGCGAATTAAGAGCTGAAATTTTCTTTCATCATTGTGCTAGATATCTATTATTATCACAGAAAGTTTTAGCCTTCTAATTCTACAGCTTGTCCACGTAACTCCTATGGCAGAGATATCACATCGTTACCTTTTTTGTTCATTTTGTTTTGACTATAACTCCGAAGCTAAAAGTCGCAAAGAGTTTCAAGACGTTTTAAATTATAGAAAAAGCTGTTTTCTACATTTTGGGATCTGTTCAGACTCTAGGTAACCTATCCTCATAAAACTGTCATCCAAATGCTGAGACCTGCTTTTTAAGAATTAAAACCAAAGGTGTAGATCTCAGCATTTTTTATCACAGTTTTTTTAAGATAGGTTTCCTAGAGCCTGATTAGATCTCAAAATGTAGAAAACAGTTTTTTCTATAATTTAAAACGTCTCCGAACTCTCTAAGACTTTTAGTTTCGGAGTTATAATCGAAACAAAATGAGCAAAAAAAAGCAACGCTCTGAGATATCTTTGCCATAGGAGTTACGTGGACAAACCGTCTCGTACTTGCTAAGTTATTGACTTTTCTCCACTTAAGGAAAATCCATGTGTTTTCCAAAGAAGCAAAGATGGTGAGGAATATTGGAATATGATTTTTATGGAAACAAGACGAATGGCGTTGAATTCTGAAAGACGTTTGCGTTCATAGCCGTTGATTACACAAGGGACTCTTTGAAGTTTCCCGTTAGGATCGTCCTTGTGGTAGAATGTTGGCCGGTCAATCTGATGAACATCAGCAGGAGGGATTCGCTGCATTCCAATGTTTTTTTCTGTGCTTATGTTACTTCACGTTT